TTAGTAAAAATTTTATGTATTAAACTACACCTTAAAAAAAGGATTCATTATAATACTTCCAGATTTACCCACATTGATTGCTGCAAGGTACGTTAAATTATAGATGCCACATGTGTGACCCATAAAGGCTCAAAGTCCTATCCTTCCAACCTGTCCACTTGCCAAAGAAGATAAGAAAGTCTCCAAACAGCACACAGTGTTAAAGCATATACCATATTTTCACTATCATTAGAGGAAACTTTGACATCCTTCATCATTGACACAATGTTGCTTTCTCATTGGTCATGGATGCTCTTCACATGAACATTTTAACTTTGTGAGCATGTTGGGCAAGAACTTAGAGGGTACAACAAAGTGAAAGCAACATGTACTCTAATTGTGGTTTCCTCTCATGTGAAGTGTAATGCCACATCATCCTATCTTCCCCAAATTCTACTGTGTTTTTAAGCATCAATTACATCAACTAGAACCAAAGGGAAAACATCACCATCCAAGTTTGTTTTCCACACTCTTACTTTGTGATCAATATAACTTTTAAGCCATCTTACTTTGATTTAAGGTGCCATGTCTCTTGAAATTGTGAAAGTGGTCCTCAAAGAGGTTTACATGGAAGCTATAAGTCACTCTCCTATCAACCCTTTTATATCACTAGATGGAGCACTTTTGGCCTAACTATTATCACATTACTCCACTTCTAGTGATAGAGACACAACAAAGGTTGTGTCTATTGTAAATTATTGATATGGCTTTTAAATAGAAACACAATGCTTTGCTAGGATTTGGTCTGCAATTAATGAAGATATTTGCCTAGAAGGAGTTGTGTCTATTTTCTTAAAGAAGATATATGTTAAAAAATTTTAAAACATTTTTTGGTAATTGGTTAGTGTTTTTCAAAAAATTAAATTAAATTTTTGAAAATAAATAATTGTAAACAAACATGTTAAAGAGTATATTAAAAAATATCATTAATATTTTTTTATTTAAAATAAATATGCATGAAACTCTTTAGATTTGTGTTTATTTGTTTTAGAGTTAAATATTATTTGAACACCTAAACATTTCATACCGAATCAATTAAGGAGTAAACTTTTGTTAAAACTATTTTATCAATAATTAATGTTGAAAAGATAATATTATTTTCGTTTTAGAAAAAAATGATAATATTATATCTAGCTTGACAATTACATCTAAAATGATTTATAAAACAAACAAAATACATATACTGTAGCAAATATGCCCTACATTTTTTTTTTGTCAATAGGTAAATATCAAATAAATTAATTTAAGATTCTTTATTAATAAATTTCAAAGTTCGGGAACTTAATTAATTATCACATATTTACATGCTTCTTAGGGAAGGATAAATGAAATCATAGGTTAAATATATATAATTTTTATATATCTGTTTTTCTTATATTTTAGTAATTATCGTTATTAATAAAAGTTATTATTTATTTAATTATATTTTTTTAACAATGTTGTTACGATAAGAATTAAAATACAATAACATATTCATATAAGGATAAAAATATATTTTTAAATATAAAAATATTTTTTGTATTGGAAATATTCTAATTTTATTATATCGATTCATAAAATTTAAAAATTTAATCAAATAAATCGACGTTTTAATTTTTTTTTATTCACTGATCACTAATATCAAAATAAATAGTATTCTTATAAATATTTAACATAAATTTTTAACTCAGACCAATATAAAAAAATTTATTTTACATAATTATGTCACTAAAATTGCTAATAATAATAGTAATAAATATTTAAATTTAGATTTTAATAATAATAATTTAAAATTAAAGTATATATTTGTCTATAAATAACTATTCAAATATTTAATAATAAAATTTATTAAAATTAAATAATTAGTTCATTTGTCATTGTCACGTCGATTCAATTCAAACAAATCAATATAATTTATTTGACAATGTATTTAATATATTTCTCTATCTTAGATGATCTATATTGTATTAATAATCAATTCTAATATGTAATGGTTAGACCATTTTAAATATATTTCAGTGAAAATATTAATTTATTTAATAAAAAATGAAAATTTTAATTTAATTAAATTTTAACACTCAAATTTTACTAAATTTTAATTGTTTTATTAATATATTATTATTTTATTCAATAAAATAATTTATTCTTTATTGAAAATAAATAAATAATTAATCTCATATTATATTAAGGTGCGTTTGGATACATAATTTAATTAATTATTTATTTAATTAGCATTTTTCAAAAGAATGACTTATTTAGTAAATGTAACTATAAAATTTATAGGAATAAGCTAAAAGCAGCTTATTTTGTTAAGGTATGCCAAAAAAATTATTTCAATGAGTAAAAGAAAGTCTAAAAAAATTAAAACTTATTTTCACAAATTGTAAATTTTTTGAAATTATTTACAAAATCTTTGATGTTTCTTTAAATTTATTCAGACTTGTAAAGACAAAGTTACATAAGTTTAATTTTGATACACTATCAGGGTAAAGATTTTTACATTGTCAATCAATCAGAAACATTATTGTATAATTTTTATAATATTTATTCTAAAAAAAATAATTATTATTAATATGACAATTTACGATTAGATGATAATATAAAAAAAAATAAAATTAAATCACAAGTATCATATATTAGAGACCATCTTCAGTTAAAACTATTGTATACAACAATTTTTTTAATATTTAACACACTAAACATAGTTTCATTACTTAAACTCGGAACCACAAGTTAAGTTTAATACTTTAAATATATTTAAATTAAATTAAATTTATATTTTTAAAAAATAATACTAAATTATATTTTTGTTTATTTAATATATATATATATATATATATATATATATATATATTGAAAACATATTTAGTGAGAATAGTTTTTATTATAAAATTATGATAATATTAAATATGAATCAAATTTAGTGGTAGTTTCATGAACACAAAAAAGTTATATACGCTTTTTTTTTTAATCTTAACCATTTAAATAAAATCTAACAGTTTATTTTGTTATTATCATTCTCATATTAAGTAAGTTTTCTCATTTAATTCATACATAATAATAATAATAATAATAATAATAATAATTAAAATTCAATATATTTAATTAATAAATAAACAAATCAACTAATATTGGTTTCAAGTTTTATTTGCTTTACTTTTAAATACAAATGACTATAAATTAGAGTTGACAAAAAAAATATATATCTTCCTTATAAAATTAAATGACCATGTTTGGCAAATAACAAAGTCAATCATACTTGTATACTATTTATAGGCTAAGTCTATTATAGAAAAATATAAAAAAAGACAGATTCATAAGACACTTCTTATAGTATCAGAACACAATGGGTGTGAGATGAAGGGATAAAGATCACTACAGTGACGTTATTGTCAGAAAGAATTTTGGTTATTAAAATAAAAATATTTTATTTAAAAATAATAAATAGTTAGAGTTAATATTAGATTTGGTACAATGAAAATTTTAACGCAGAGGGTCCGAAATAAAGTCACCTAGCAAGACATTAGATTTAGTAACCAATCTTATTTGTTATTACTAACCTTTTGTTGTCTATTTTCTAATACTTAAGGTTTATATTTTTGTTTTTGAAAGCATGATGCCTAAAGAGGCTCGAGAACAATGGCGATTAAGTACCAAAAAAAAACTTGTATTGTAATATCTGAATTGAGTCATTTTGTGTAATTCAAGAATTTTATTGTGATAATTTTAGCTAATAATAAAAACTAGCCTTGACTTGAAGGGATACAAATTCTTTTCTATAGTAACGAGAATGATATATTTAGTTTTATTTTTGTTTAAATAAAAATGTAATTTTTTTTTACATAAAATTAGTTTAAATAATGTTTTTTTGACTTTATTTTAAGTGAATTATTTTAACTAATTTTATATTTTTTTATTGATCTTGTTTTTTTCTTATGCATAATACTGTATCTTCAACTTCTATATTCAACTCTCTTTAATCTTTATATTCAATTTTATTCCTTTTCTCTTATCAAATTTTTTTCTTCCTCTTCCAACTTCTTTTTTCTTCTATTCCATGTCTAATTTTCCTTCTCTTACTCTTACTCTACATATACCTATATCTTCCTCTTTTTTCAATATTCAACTCTCTAACCTCATTTTTCTCCACCATTATTCTATATTACCAGTTCTCTTTATCGTCATTCATTTTTAGTTCTCTCTTCTCTCATACCTTAACTTCTATCTTCTCATATGCACAAAATTCACTAAGTTAAAATAATTTCTTAAACAAATTTTTCTTACAAAATTTGTTTAAATTAATTTTGCATAATTTTTTTTAATTTTATGTATTTTCACTTAAGCTATTTTATTTTTATTTAAATAAAAATAAAACTAGATATCTAATTTTCACCGAGTCAATCCATATCTGACTTTAAGTCAGTGAGTTGAACTAATTTAAACTGTTTTTTTCTTTAATTTTTCTATATTTCTTTTAAAATTTTTTCACTAACTTTAAGAGATATTTGAATTGAAAAATTTTATTTTGCAAAAAGATAAATATTTTAGACACATACACGTTTTATGAAACCTATCATTGATTCAACTAACAATTAATTAATAATAAATTTAAAAATAATTTGTTATTTTAAAAAATTATTTTGACACTTTTCTTATATTCTTTAATTTATCTTTTTTCAATATATATTGATAGTTTTTAGATTAAATGTGTTTTTAATCTTCATATTTTAACAAATTTTTTCTTTTATATTTTGACAAACTAAAATAAAATTATTAAAATGTGGAGATTAAAAACATATTTAAGTAACTTTTGCATTTTAAAATTAAAACTTCATATTAAAATTGGAAATTTAAAAACGTTAAAAACTAAAATTATAAAACACAAATAGTTTTAATTTATAAAAATTTTAAAACCTAATAATACTAGTTTCAAAAATGATACACCCCCACCTCCCTCTTATTCTAAATCTAAACAAAACGCCAACGCCATAACCAGACACAGTCACACACACACAGTAACACACTCGCACGCACACAGAGACACAAAACTCCCTCTCTATCTGTAACCGTTACTCCCTTTCATTCTTCTTATTCTCTCAGATCTCCCTCAAACCCTTTTCCTTCTCTCCTTCTCCCATCCATTTTCCTGAGAAAATCTTCAATCTCAACCTTTCTGGCGATTTTCTACCACCCGCATTTCAGGTTCGCTGAGAAACCTTTTGCTACACTGTTGTTTCTTTGGATTGACGAGGGTGAGATTTCCCGGGAAAATGAGAGATTCAAGGTTGACAATGGTGCTGTAGCAGCAGCAGCAGAATTAGCAGTAATCGTTGAAGAAGAAGAAGAAGAAGAATAAGAAGAGAAAATGGATGACAGAGGTAGCTCATTTGTCGCTGTTAGGAGGATTCCACAAGGAGAAACCTGCCATTCAAATTCTGGTAAAAGTTCAAAATTATGAAATTGCTTCGAATTTTCTCGTTTGTTTTGTTTTTTCTTCGTGATTTCCCCCACTTTTCTCTCACTCCTTCAAACGTTAATTGTTTTTCTTCGTTTCCTTTTTCTCTCTATTGTCTTCACTTTCACAAATAGTCGTTGTACTTGTTCCACCTCTTTTCTTCTTACTCCTCTCTCTCTTAATATAATATATATAATATATTATTTATGATTAATATTATATATAATATATATGGACCGGGATCGAGATCGAACCGTGTTATAATAGGCCGATCCATAACCCAAGTTGGTGATGTTTTCTGATATTCTACGTTGTATTGGTGGGTGGTTTCATTTTATACAATTATCGGTTTTCAAAATTTTTTATGCTTTTTTTAATATCTTTTTTTTTTTTGGTATAATTTTCATAGAAATTCGGAACTCTCTTTCTCTTTCTTTGGCTCTAGTTTTATTGAGTAGAGCCCTCGAGTTTCTGTTTCCAAGCTAATCAAAATCACGTTAAATTACGTTTGAACATGAAAGTTATAACTTCTAGAGTTGAAATAGATCTGGAATACGGTTTGAGTGAGTTTGATGTCAATCCAAACACACCCTCGTGGGAAATGTTACTTTGTGGCATCTATGTTTTTATATCTACAAGGGGTTGTTCCTGTAGATCTAACGTTCATGGTATATCATATCTTGTGAAATGCTCTTCATCTGTTGTATTTGAAGCGCTCTACTGATGAAGTGGTAAAATTCTGAGTAAAGCAACGAAGAGGTCTTCTATGATTAAACTTTGCTGCGTTGGCTCGGTTTTTTTATTCAATTATATTTAATGGCCGTGTTTCTTTGTTCGAGGGATGTTGTGGAATGTGGGTCCCCATCCAGGTATAGCCTTAGTTTGTGGATTGGTGTCGATTGGGAGAACACAAACTATTTGTTAAATGTTAAAAAATTGAGTGGCAGCTTGTGACGTCGGCCCGAGCTTTGGAAGTTTTTATACTGGCCCATGGGGGACTGTATTCAGGGGAGATGGAATGGGTAGCTTTTACATGATTTCGTATTATTTTATATTTTTTGCTTTCCAGTTACGTTTAGTGGATTTGATTAAAATATATTGTAAATTATGCAAACTGTTAAGGAAAAAAATAAAAGGCTGCCACTTTCTGTTGTTTGAAACACTGCTTGTTTGTCCAGCAACTCAGGATGAAATATGTAGCATGAAAGTGGGTAGAATCTTCGTTGATGGCAATTTTTTTTTAATTGCAGCTGAGGTTGTGGCAGGATCAGCAGCATGGCTTGGTCGAGGTCTGTCTTGTGTCTGTGTACAAAGAAGAGATAGTGATGCTTCTAACTGTTTTGATTTGACTCCAGCCCAGGTAATATTTTTGTAAACTAAAGCAAAGCAGCACTTAGTTTCTGTTCAAGTATTTCAGTTAATTATGCTTTAGGCATCTTCCTGTAAAAACTAAAATAACAAAAGGATTTTTGAAGTAGAGCGTCTACTATGTGGTAAGGATCTTGAACATTTTTCAGGTACAACGAGCATCTTCTAAACTGTGTGCAATAGAAACATTTTGCGATTCAGATTTGTATTGAAAAATCTGTCTTCTTATCAAATAACAGAATTATTGTTAAATTGCATTTCTGGTTGTGTTTTTTTCTTGTTTATCGTCCATATTTTGTATGTGGTTTGGGGGATGCCAAGAAATCTAGTTGTTAGGTGGAATCTTGATTACCAATAGCTAATCAGCTGTTGTGATTAGTGGTGCCAAGATACATGAGCTGTGCTCCCTTTACCATATGAAATTTTGTAGCACTTTCCACTTTTTTTCTGTTAAATATTTTGTTTATAATTATACCACTACAAATTCCCATAGTGTTGAATTTCCAATTCTTAGGAGGAATGCTTACAGAGGCTACAGAGACGTATAGATGTTCCATATGATAGCTCAGTAATTGAGCACCAGGTATCTTTTCTGTTAATATTTTTCAAGTTTGTGTGAGCGATGTGGCACTTCAACCTATGTACTCATAGCTTTATGTGCTGCCACTGGCTTGTTGCTGTGTTGCAATCTTCAATGCCTTAAGAGTGTAATTTACATATTTTAGGATGCCCTTAGGGCTTTGTGGAATGCTGCATTTCCTGAAGAAGAACTTCATGGCTTGATATCTGAGCAGTGGAAGGAAATGGGCTGGCAAGGGAAAGATCCATCAACAGATTTTAGGTAGACATTGTCCTGCATTTTTTCACTGCCAAAATCTTATGTTCTTTCCAATTATTGTTGCTAATGATTTCTATTTGTGTATATTTTTGGCAGGGGTGGTGGTTTTATATCATTGGAGAATTTTCTTTTCTTTGCTAGGAATTTCCCGGTATCACTTCTTTATTATTCTGTTCACTCTTATCTGATTTCTAATGAAAAGATTACTTATGTTCACCAGATTATAGTTTAGAATGGAAAGCCTTATGAATGATAGCTCATCCTAAAGGCTAGATAAAGTAACTAAGAATTATATATTTCTTCCAAAAGAAGCCTTTTAGTTTCTATTAGAAGGGACTGATGCAAATAGTGATATTGTTGGGTATTGATATTGTTGAAATTATGGTTTTAAGTATAAAGGGAGGAAGAGTGATAAAAGAGAATAAACCTAGAGTACTATCCTTTAACTGAGATGTATTACAATGTAACGGTGCATGTGCATTAAACCTAAAGTACTATCCTTTATTTGTAATAAGAGAAATGCTAACAACACACTTTCTAATGCACTCTTGGTCAAAATTTATTCAAAATTACAAAATTCATGAGTCTCACTTTTTTTCACTCTTAATTTAATGATTCTCTCTTATACTTTTGTAGTTTTTAATAAATTTTAGTCAATAACTAAAAGTGTGTTTATATCACTTCTCTTTGTAATAATCATAATACTAACTAATTAAGAAAACAAATCATGATAAGATTAGAAATATGGTAAATAAAGCAAAGAGATAATATGAAAATAGGAAAATTAATCCTATAGGATAATCTAAGATATGATATTTTCATGTATTCTAAGTTTCTATAACTCCCTCTCAACTAAAGTTTAGTAAGCTTCAAGCCCGTTACAAATATACCCTTTCAAAAAAGAGAAAAACAAAAAATATAAGTTGTAGGATGGCAGGACCTAGATAGCTGATTTCTCTTAGAAAGCTGTGATGATAGTTGATCATGAGGCTATGCTAATCTTTGGGGAAGTTGCAGGGCTAAGCTTTATATCTCTGGGAAAGCCATAATATCAGGTTGATTTTGTTGGGAGAGTCGCTGGGCCAGCTAATACTTTTGGTAAAGTCACAAAGCAACTGATCTCTCTAGGCAAGTTGCGGGGTTAAGCTCATATCTCTAGGAAAACTGTCGGGAAATGATAGATAACTCTACCTGAATGAAACACCACCATATACAATTTAGTGATGTATGTTCATAAATTTTAAAGAACTAACCCTTATTTGTACTAATCTTGGAGACATTTAGAAAATATGGAACTTAATCCTAAATGATAATTTAAGATATTCTAAAATAGGATAAGATATTTTCATATATTCTTGTTAGATAACAATCATCACAAAATAAGGGATATAATTAGATATCCATTATATGTAATTATAAATTAGGAATATATTTTTGTTCTTCTGTATTTATGATTGATTCTGATGTTAATATATGATTATAAATATGATTCATGGGTAATATAATCTCTTTTCTTATAATTCTAATAAATTAGTTGGATAAGGAGGAGTTTAATTTAAATTGAGGGATCATTATTTCAGACAGTGAACATGGTGGTGTAAGAAATAAAGGATTGTCAGTAATTTAGGTAAATTTCCGAGCGTATCTGAAGAAAATTCTTGTGTTGAACTTCCTCCATGATAGAAGATTTGTTCCCATATTTTGTATATTCTCTTGCTTTCTTTGAGAAAAAGGGTCTAGCAAGTTAAACTGCATTATAAACAAAAATTATGTTTAAATTAATTGATTTGTTTTTTCCCAGCCTCTCTTTCAAATTACACCTACTCTAATAATGTCTCTCAAATATGATTTCATGCAAATCAGTGGTGAACTTTTCTTCATTATTCACCATTGGTATCTGGTTCCACACATCAATGTGGACTTCTTATGAATTATGATAATCGGCCATAAATGTTGAATTTCTTGTTTGACTGATAATTTTTAAAATGTGATGTTCTATCTGCATGTTCACATCCTTACCTTCCTTTCATATTTGAACTGTTTTGGTGCTAATGTGTATACTGCATTTTTCATTAAGATGAAGTATTGTGTATTTTGTTTCTTTTAGCTCTTGATATTTATCTGACATATGCTGGTAATCTACCAGGGCTAGCTAACTTAATTTTCTGTATAGACAAATGGTTATTATTATTAGTAGTAGTTGATAGGAAGTAAAAGTTACAAGAGATAATATGATATTCTCCAAAAAGAAAAACAAATCTGAAAGAATGATGAAAAAATAAGCTCTTCAATAAGTACAACCCAAAGAGAAAAACAGGAGAGGAAGCTACTAAAGCTTCCCCAAGACACTCATAGTAGATTCTCACATAAAATATAAAGCTAAGATAAACATAAAACAGTCCTTTAGTCGTTTGGCAGTATGACAACTTCAGAGGTTCCCAGAGGAAACATACCTAAGCCTCCTGATTCCTTTAGGCGTTCCATAATTTACTATTGTGGCTAACCTTTATAAAGCCCTCTTTGTATCTTCTCAATGAGACTTGTCAGTTGTTACCCTATTGGTTTGTCTTTGTTAATCAAGTGTTGTTTTGATCCCCAAGACCGCTAAAATATTTTGTCAACCTTAAATCTAATTAGTTGTCATTCATGTCTCTTTGTCATAATTTTTTTGCAGAAATCCTTCCAGGATCTCTTACGGAAGCTGGAAGGAGATAGATCAGTGTGGGAATACCCATTTGCTGTTGCTGGTGTTAACATAACATATATGCTGATACAGATGCTTGATCTTGAAGCAGGTTTGTTACCTCTCCTATTATTATAATTTTAAAACTTCTTTATTCTCTGTTTTTATGGTGTCTAAAGTGATAATTTTGGTTGCTGCCTATATGTATGGGCACTTTTCTTTCTGAATTGTGTCATATCAATTTCATATTGACACAACTAATTAAAATTTAAGCCGTCTTCAATTTTTGTTTCTTGACATTTTACTTTGCACAAGTCAGTATAACAAAGGTCACCTGCAATTGCCATCTGAATCATTGATGGTCCCATGCTGTGATACATTGAATCAGTATCTGGATCAGCAACAGTTATCTAATAATTATATGCTTTGCCTTTACAGTCAAGCCACGCAATCTGGTTGGAGCAACTTTTCTAAAATTTCTTGCAGGTAGTCCGAACACTCCCTTTTAATCTGTTCATTTTACTTCGCTTGAATCTGGAAGGGGATCAAGGAGGGTTGAAAGTTGAAACTTAGACAAAATGAAAAAGTTTTATTTACAATGTTATGCTTTTTTATTTTGCAAGTTGCAGTTTTCATTTTATCTTAGCTTGCTGTTTTAACTAAATTAATCCATTCACGTTTGTCTGACAGAAAATGAGTCAGCTTTTGACCTTCTCTATTGTATAACCTTCAAGCTAATGGATCACCAATGGCTTTCTATGCGTGCCTCATACATGGATTTTAATGTATGTACCCTTAAATCTCAGTTTTCTAGAGAAATAAGAGAAAGTTATGGCACAAGCAAATTTAACTTAAGTGTAGAAGTTCGTTAAATGGGAAAGGTGAAAGGAGAAAGCATGCAAGAACAGAAAATTAGAAAAACTTAAAGGCTTGTTCGGTTTCTGGAAACATTTTATGTTTTCACTTTTAATTGCAAAATTGTCACATTATTCTTATTCTATTTTCTGTTTTTAAATATTTGTACAGAAAAACCACCTTTTATTGTTTTCATGTTTTCTGTATAAATGTTTGAAAACAGGAAACAATGAAAACATGATGACAGTTTTATAATTAAAAATAAAAACTGAAAATGAAAATAGTAATATTTTCTGAAACCAAAATTGCCCATCGTGGTCCTTTTATAACAAAAAAATATTGAGGAGAAATCATCTGTATCATTGTTTAAATTGTTTGTCATGGAGTGTTCCTGATATTGTTTCTTTGCAGCTAACCTTAACTTGCTAACTATAATTGCTAGTGACTGTCTGCTAATATTCATATTACGTTGTATTCCGACAGACAGTGATGAAATCTACACGACGTCAGTTAGAGAAAGAGCTTCTCCTTGAAGACATAACTCGGCTTGAAGATTTACCATCATACAAACTACTTTCACGATAGATATCAGTTCCAAAATCCTGTGAGTCTCCTAGTTTTAGCCAAGAGGCTTTTGTATATGATGTGATACTGCTATCATAATTTTCACTACTGCCAATTCAGCCTTTTTAATAACACTTCTGCAAGAATGAGCTAAAAACTGTAACACTGATGCGAGATTAAACATGATGTCAAGGTTTGATATGCAGCAGTTAAGCGTTTTTTAGTCTAGTTGGAGGATAACCTTGTTGACGGATATGCTGCCAGGAGGGTAAATATAAATTTGCTTGGTATAATGATTTGTTGTCTGCCACTTTGCCTATATATTTCCTTGCGGTCGATTAACTGGTAAATGCAGCTTGCAGTAATGTATTTCAGACAACTTTATTTAAGTTGATTGCATCTTCCTGATCTTGTTTATTGTACTGCATATTGGTTTAACAGATTCAATGCTACTTGTTTATTTGCCCATAAAATTGCCCATTAGTTTATGCAACCAGTCTAATTTTCCGGAGAAGAAAAAATATTTTTTGCATTTTCTAACAAGAATATGTTTCAATAAAAAACATTATAACAAAGATTAATTTGATATATATTTAACGATGCAAAATAAAATTTATTAAACTTCAAACTGATTAATTCAACTTCTCTCGCTCTATACCTTAAGTACTAAACATACTGTGAGTGAAGCATTAGTTGAGGGTTTGAACTTTGGATGATAAGCCAAATCAGGAACTGATTTTTTGTTTTTATCGATCACATAAAATTTATTAAAAAAATTGTCAATAAAAAAAATGCAAGCAATAAATATCCAACTTGAAAATAAGTTTTATAAGAATATTCAAATCAACTATTGGATTGATCTATTATTTTATGAAAAATTATTAAATAGTGTAAGTATTTAAGTTTGACACTTGTGAATTTTTACTCATTTAATAAAATTATAATATAAATTTAATATTTTAAATACATAAGTCTTTTAATTATTCTTTTCACATGACACTTGTACAAATCATAGTCACATATAATCATTATAACTTTTTCATAATAACACCTGAATTTAAAATAAAAATAGCTTTGAGATTTAATGCATGGTAGAGTTTTTTATTGAAATTATATTGTCATGTACAAAATTAACATATATAATTCCAGTGTTTATCAACCATATTTGTAATACTCTTAAAATTAGGAAAAAAAAGAGTTAAGTCAAACGAGTATTCTTCTACTCATTACTCATCTTTCTTTGGATAGAAAGATGAGAGTATAGTCAAGTCTTTTTTGGAACAAGTTTAGTGAAATTTTTGTGTTTGTGCTACACTAAACAACCTAAGAATACTCGGGAAAAAAAAGAAGAGAGCAAACAATGGAATTTATATATATAAAAAATATAATGTTTAAATAGCAAATCGAATGTATACATTAGCTTAAAAGTATTGCTATTAAAAAATAATTTACAAAAATACTTCACGAATTTACATAAATTTGCATACAATAATGTCAATAAAAAAGAATAATAATTAATTTCATTTTCGTTAGATACTTGAAAAATATTTATAATTAAAACTAAAAATTTTAAATAATTAATTTTAATGTCATTATATACGTATGTTATGATATAATTTATTTTATTATATTTTCTTTAAAGTATTTTATAGGATTATTTATGTTAAAAAAATATTTTAATTACGTAAATTATGAATAACTACTATAAGTTATAAAAATCTAGATATCTAACGTGTACATTAATCAAACTTATTACATAAGAAAATAAAAAGGTGAGAATTATCAATATTAAATAGATAGCTCCCAAAAGTTAGGTCATAATAAACAAAATTCTCTTAAAAGAAAGAAAAAGAAAATTGGTAGCTCTTATAAGAACATAAACTTAAGACAAATTCGTTAAAAGTGGTTAATGACGTACGCACACGTATGAAAATAGAATAGGTAATATAATTACGCATAAATAAATATCATTTATGTAAAAAAAATTACAATTAATTTTGATTAAAACTTAATAAAAAATAACTTTCATTCAATATACCATCAAAATAGTTAACCGGCCTTGAAATTAATTTAATAAAACTTGTAAATTTAACATAACAACGAATTAATATTTGTACAAAAATCTAAGAAGAGTTCATTCAACTATTAAACATCAAACAATTTTCTTAGAAGAATAAGATTCAATTGTATTAATACGGCTGTATTAATTAAAAAAATAATTATTTTATGATGCTAGAAATTAAAATACATCTTTTTTTTTAGAAAAGTTTTCTATCAAATAGACGTTAAGATGTCTTGAGATCTCTATTTCTTTTTTAAATGCAAGATAAGGTATATACTATTAGAATACACATACACATAATTGTCACATGCCATATTATAATGACTATAAAAATTGTTAATTAAAATTATGTAATATCCTCATTTTTATTAGTGTATATTTATTTTATTTATTATTATATTTTATTTTTTAAAATAGAAATTTTTAAAATTTGAAGGTTACAGCTCGTTCAAGCAAGATATCTGAACTAGACATTTCAGGACATTGTTACTTAAGCGAGATGGGTCTCAACCCAATTGTGAGTCTCTCGCTTAAGCGAAGAGTCTCTTGTTTAAGCAAGAAGGTACAGGAAAAATGACGAGCTCTCTGAACCAGATTTTGCTTAGACAAGAATAATCTCACTTAAACGAGCAGTCTTGCTCAAGCGAGAGCTGGTTCACTTAGTGAGAAGTCGCAGACAAAAATGGTATTTAAGGCAATTCAGTGTTTTAAACATGGATTATAAGTCCAAGCAACTTTTCCTCACTTTTTTCTCTGTTCTTTCTCTTCCTTTTTCTCAAAGAAAACTCTCATAAACTCTAAATTACTTTTGAATTCGAGCTTAGATGTCTTTACTTTTTGATTCCAAGTAAGTTCCTTGGAGCTCAATCTTCTCAACTCACTTTTATTTCTCCATTTTCTCTCTTTTCAAAAGTGCTCCACTTTGAATATATAGAAAGAACTTTTCATTGGACGATCTCTTCCGTAAAACTATTCACAAAATCATCTTTTTGAGGTAAAGAGAATTTTATCCCATAATTTAAAGCTTTAATCATAATATTTTTTAAATTTTTGTACACTCTCTATATTCAGTAGGTGAGTTATATTATGTTTATTTTAAAAAACTAAGCTTATAAATGGGTTTATTAGGTGTTAAAAACCTAAGGTTCAGATAAATTGAGTAAGGATTTTCTAGAGAAAGTTATGAATAAAATAAGGTTTAAGTTATTTTTTTGAGTAAAATGAATATTTGAAAAATGATTATATTAGAAATATTTAATGCAAAATGATTATATGGTGTATTTCAAACTCTATAATTGAGCATTCATATTCAAAGTTATTATGGTATGAAAATACGATTTGAGCTAAGTCTTGAGATGTCTGATTTCCATTAATTTAATGATTTAACTGCAAAGGAGTGACATGTTATTGTAATATTGTATTTTTATTTGAAGTAGATGTGTGTTTAATAATGGTATAATGATTGTTGAACGAGAAATTGTGTTGGACAGTGGTGAGATTACATCATGATGAGTTTGAAATTGGACAAATTTATTTAAATAATGCTAATTTAAAAACTAATTCTTAAAATAGGGTTTTTTTTAAACATATTCCCTGTCTGGTATGAAATTTGGCCATGTCATCATCTATATCGCACCTGCATGTACGATATTTTAATTTTTCAATTTTTTAATACATTATTGGTGGTGACTAACCAATACTTACTCAGAGATAGACACGTGTCAAAATCAGAGGTATATCGTCCGTTTTTAAACGATAAATAAGTTGTCAGTCAAAATGCATCAACTCTATCAGCTATCAACAAGTGATACACGTGAATGAATGACACATGTCAACTGAATAGATATATCGGACAGTCTCGAACGATTGCAAAATCTCTGGTCAAGCTGCGTCACCACTATCGGTCTGTAGAGTGCAATATAATTAGACACTCAACACATGTGAATATACGTTGGTTATAATTGATGCATTGAAAAAAAAATCTATAAATGCGGTGGTATATATTGCCCTCATCGCATTGCCTTACGTTCCTGAAGGAAGAACCACCGTATGTGGGCTCAAGTTAGATTATGTTATTTATTTTGTTGAGTTTTGAGTTATGATTATTTTTTATTTAAATAAAATTTTATATTTGTTATTTTAATGGAAATATTATTTTTATTTAGTAGTTAAAATAAAATCGATTAGGAAGAGAGTAATTCCGACTGTGCATCCTATATACTCTTTAATAAACACATTTTAGAAGAGGAGAACTTACCTGGACTAATTTCAAAATCAATTGAATGAAAAGAAAAACTGCTAACTGGTACCAAGACGCTGCCTTTTATGATTGCATCCTAGTTGCTGAAACAATTAATTTACGTGATTAATACTTTATTAATTTATTGAAAAATATTTTATATTCTTTATAATATTCATACTTTATCAATTAAAAAATATATTTTTAATTAATAAATTTTGAATAACTACTGTAGATATAATTGATATGAATTTAAATATATAATATGTGCATAAAAAAATACATAAAAATATAAAAATAAGTGATAATTATTTAAAATATTATCATTATCCTTTTTTTTTTTTTCAGTTTAATTTAATCTAAGAAAAACCGATAAAACCCTACACACAATACCGCTGTGATTCTTTAATCAATCGCTCCAAAACCAAAACACACTACATCTTCTCGGACCTGAAGGAGTGCAGAAACTGGGACTTCTATTCCGAATGTCATTCTCAAGGTTAAGCTCTTCTCTCCCTCTCTCTGTTCCCAAGTTTCCTCCTTTTCTTCTATGCTTTCCTTCTTCCTCACTCCAAACCCGATTCATTCACAATGTTGACGTTGATGATGCTGTTGCCTTGTTCAATCGCATGCTCAATACGCGTCCTTCCCCATCCATCATTCAATTTACCAAGATTTTGGGGTTCCTCGTTAAGAACAAGCAATTCCACTCCGCCATTTCCCTTTTTCAACGATTGGGATTCAAGGGAATTGAGCCAGACATTTTTACTTTTAACATTCACATCAATTGTTTATGCCAATGCGTCATATGACCTTTAGCTTTTTCGATATTGGCCAAGATCTTCAGATTGGGTCATCAGCCTAAACCTTCACTCCACTCATGAATGGTATATGTCAATGGCAACGTTAGAAGAGCACTGCATTTTCATGACAAGTTGTTCGCACGAGGATTTCATATGGACCAAGTTAGTTATGGGACGTTGATCAAAGGATTATGTAAAGCTGGAGGAACCAGAGCTGCCATGTGCTTAGAAAGATTGAAGCGCGATCCATTCAGCCTGATGTGGTAATGTACAATACAATCATTGATAGCTTATGTAAAGTTCAGCCTGATGTGGTAATGTACAATACAATCATTGATAGC